ACGATCTTGAATATACAGATTTGGTTAATACGATGCCAGCTAATAATAACCCATCAATAAACCGTGTCGGGTCAACCCTCAATGCGAACCTCGCCTGACAAAGAAGACGTCTATTATAGCGAAGACTCGGAACTGCGAAATTTACTGGGTAGGTGGTATATGGTATAAGATACTATTTTTAACCCATCTAAATTATTTTTTTCAGCCCAATAAATCACAGAAAAAAAGTTGCCTTATCTTCATGAGCTGTTGAAAGACTACACATTTTTCATTTTGGAAATTATGCATTATGGATCCTTCAAAGGAGCGGACCTCCCAACATTAGGAACTAGAATTAAATTGCAGCAAAAACTTACTGAATGGAAAATAGAAAATGTGAGTGAAAATAGTATATTGTTGTATTAGGAGTAGAAGCTTTACTTTTTTGTGCTGAAGCAGTAGGTTTGCGAGCTGAACGTAGTGAGGCTTGCAATACTGCTGAAGCACAAAAAAGTGCTTCTACTCCGTATGCAACACACTATTTTTTCTCCAAACGAATGGGGTAAGCTCGGGGGTAACTGAATGGTTGAGCGGCAGTAAAAGTACGAGCGGCACTAAAAGTACTTTTGCTGCCGCTGGGGTTGCCAAGCAGCATAGAAATTAAATTTCTACCACCTCGACAGGTGTTAACCTGCTGGATTTGCCTACCAGCATAGAAATTAAATTTCTGACATCTTGACAGGGGTTAACAAAGTGACGTTTTTTTGACGTTTGGAGAAAAAATAACATTATGAATTTATCATAGTGCTTATGCTTTTTTTTCCAGAAAGTATCTACATGGTCAATTTCACTACCCACCCATATTCGTACGTATAAATTGCCTTATGGACGTGAAATTTGAAAATATACCATACCTGCCTCCTATACTGTATCCATTATAATTTAATTTCAGACCTATCTATTTAGTATGTTTATATTTTATATTGTTAAGAAATAATTTGTTTTATCTTTAATTATTAAACTGTTTTTTGAAAAAAAAAGTTTTTTATTCTAAACACCTAATCCAATTATTACCAATAATTAGGTAGTAATGATTGGATTGAATTGTATATTTGACCATATTTTAATTAATAAAATATGGTCAAATATACAATTCAATTGGCAACAAAACAAAAAATAGTAACTGAACAATAAATATGTAGGTGGAGAACAAAAACTGTGGTCAATATATTATTTAATAAGGTTGCTGTACAAGATATTATGGTTGCTCAACTATTAGTGGTTTATGTAAACTAATAAAGTAGTTTAGGGACTATGAAATGTTTAAATTATAAATAAACAAATATATTGTTGAAAATGACAATAAAAATTGTTTGCGAACAAGATTTTTTCAACCATATTTTTTTGGTTGATTTAACTATGAAACGAGATAGACGCCATTTCATATACTCTTTCTGGTTGATTTTACCAAGCATTTTCTTTGAGTGTAGGAATAGAATTCTGATTGGATTTGGAATGAACAAGGTTCCAGAAGACTTTCACATTAGTGCATATGGCCCTTTCAGTATCACTTATGTATAATTTGTAGCACTCCTTGGTGAGGTTTATACAATCCCTCCGGAGTGTGTTACATGCAAAATAATCCACTTCACTATTCAACTGCTAGTATTGTTTGTGAGCAGTTTTCTTTTAAAAAGTCAGGTTTTTTAGTTCGTGAGAAAACCAGATAGGAAATTTATCGCTGTAATAATGTCTCTTTGTGGGAACGAACATATTAAAGCAGTCGAACAGCACCGAGTAAAAGTTATTAACAGTTTCGTTTAGATCCTCCATCATAATGGATCGCCAATCAAAGGAAAGAAAATATTCATTAATTACATCGTAATTGGCATTTTTAAAGTCATAGGAAACATAATTAGGAGGCTTCAGAAATTTAGCTTTGTCAACAGGTATGGAAAACTCCAGAGCTGGGTGATAACGATCACAACCCACCAGGCCGTCAGATATTACAATTGAAACAAGCTCAAAGTTGGCAAAGCATAAATCCACGATTGAACCATCATTGTTAGTCACCCCATTGTATTGAGACAGATTAAGAGAGGCAGTACATCACATAAAAATATTTTCTTAGTTGACCTTACATTACCAGAGAGATCCTCACAAGTGGACCACGTTATTTGAGAAAGATTTTAATCTCGAAGAACAAGAACATTATCAAACATTTCACAGGCACTCGGAACCGATTTCAAGTGGTTTTCATATTACGAAACATCCATAGTAGGTGGAATGTAGACACAGCCAATAAAGAAGACCAAGTCCCCAGCGTCACTGACATCCATGTTTCCTCCACCCATGCTTCACCAATTGAGAGACGATGAGATTTAAAGCAATTATTTTCTGCCAGAAGCACCCCAACTCCACGGCTTTCAGCACTGTTTAGACTGCTCCTATCACCGCGATAAACCGTGTAACGTCAGTCAAGAAATTCAGAATCTACAGATACTACAGTTCAGCGAGGTTTCCGTAAGTGCAATCACTGAGAAATACTCGGCGCAAGCAGCACAGAAAGCATCTTTGAGTTTAGTTTTTAGGCCTCTTACATTTTGCTACAGAAAGGTAGAACAATCTAATGAGACTTTTTCCCCTCTGAAAATTTTCTGTGGAGGGTTTTGCCCCCGTACGACAAGGATGAAACTCCTTGACAGCAATGCCTACAGGCCAGAGGTTTGGATCTAGCAGGCCCTTCAAAAGTGATTTTTTAACCCCAATTTTAAATGAAACCACATCGTCATTTTTCTCCAATACCGAGCATAATCTGCATAATAAGCTGATCCTTCAAATAGTCAAAGATCTGTTTTTCGGTGGTACTCGGATCACATCGACCCAGATATAGCCATTGACGCCTCTCACCTGCAGAGAAAAGACCTCTGTCGGCACCTGTGCCGATTCATACGGGATTATTACTTGAGCGATACTCTCACTGATTGGCGCTCTATGCTGATCGCTGGGACTTTGGACTTTTTAGTCTTACACATGTAGGTATGTTCCAGAATCTTCTGCGTAAGCATATAAAATGTCCAAAGCAACATAACCGAAGTTGTAGGTTGTTTTGAATATATGACCAGTCTGGATGGGTCTTCCATTGCAATACCATTCGACTTTCATTGCTGGATCATTAACTGGAGTAAGAGTTGATTCAAAATGAACACTTTCTCCTTCTGGAAGGTTTTCAATAATTTTTAGTCCTCTTCCGAATTGTGGTTTTTCAAGAATAACAGCATCTTCATAAATATTGAATCGTTTCTTCTTGTTGAGTATCGCGGATAATGGAAGCCCTAGATCTGACTGAGGTTTGTACAGAAGACTGAGCTTGACCGATAAGATTCGTAAGTTCCATAATCTTCAGCATTAGCTGTCAAAACGTTTAGGCTAGCAAAGCCAATCGTAGGGTGTTCTGTGGTCAACGGTTGGCTATTATGGAACCATTTGACTTTGAGGTAGGAATCTGGACAAGGTTCAATGCGGCATATATTCGTACTGACACTTTGACATTCAATAAGTTAAGTTGAGCTGAGAAGAATGGGGCTTGAGTAACTTCGATTTCTTCCTCTTCGCGGGATGGTAACGGCTTGTACCTTCTAGTGCTCTAAAACTTTTTAGATTAGACGTGAAAAAAAAAGCTATTTTTAAACTGACTTACATTTAACATCCAAAACGGCAGAAGTAATAGCTTCTCTTAAATCATTAATCGCGCGGCATGTGTAAGTTCCAGAATCTTCTAGAATTACGTATTTTTTGTTGAGGGCCACGTAGCCGAAGTGGTGCATAGTATAGTTATACCGGTTATCTAATAAAATAGGTAAGCGATAAAAAATATTCCACCAATAATAATTTATTATTTTTGTTGATGCTAACGTAAAGTTATTATGTACCTATACTACCTACTTATACATATTGGTTTATTCATTCATCATCAATTAATTAGGATTACAAAAAATTGAAATTCTTACATGCTTGGATTTGGCATTCTATTCCTAAACCATTCGACTTTAAGTCGTGATTCACCCACTGGTTTCAAAATGAGCAACTTGATTTTCAGCTGTTCTAAGATCCTTGATTGGCACAGTAAATACTGATGCCTGGCTAATAATGTCCTCATGAACTTCTTTACGTCGGTAACGAGAAGAATCTTCGACTTCCGTGAGTTTTTGCAAAGCGCCTTCGTGAACTGATTCCAAATAAAGAGACTTCTTAGAGTGTACATTGCAAATATGTACCTGGAGTAACAGCTGCAAGTGTAAGTTCTAGCATCTTCTGAGAAAGTATATACAATATCCAAAGCTATAAATCCTAAGCTGTTCGTTTCAGTAAACCTTGAACCAGATTTTTGGAGTTGTCCATTGTGGTAGAATGGTACCACCAATTTCATTGTAGGGATAGGAACTTTTGGAAGTAATGTAGCAGCAATGAAATACTAGGTCATAGAGGGAATTACTGGGAAATACAAGAAATTGCCATGAGATAATAGAATTTACTTACTATAGATTGCGAATTACCAAGGAGATATCTAGAATTATTAGAATATACAGTACAGGGAAATATCTGGGAATTACGTCTGGTATATACCTGTGTACAAAATTGACCTCTCGGTTTCGAGAATTCGAGATAGTTCTGGGTAAGTAAAGGTAATTGCAAAAATTTGGGGATATGTATTCTGGAAACTTTGGAAAAGGTGGCAATTTCTTACCTTTTCCATGCAGGTGTTCTGATCTCTATGTCCATTTATTTATCAAAGGTTTTGAGCAAAAAAAAAAATAATTTAATCGGTCGTAATTTCAACCACAAAAGAACATTAAGAAATGTACAGACACCATTAGGCCTCGGTGCAATAACCATTAATTATTAACAATTAGCATAACTCTAAACGGAAGAAATATTGTAAGTTCGTTCTGGCAACAAGGCTCGCCTCTTATATAAGCCCGTATGCTTTTCCATTTATTTTAGTTTAGTCGAACAGCGGTATCCGCGTTATGCACGAGGTTCTATGGCCTCTTGGATGCTTATTTCCGATGAATCTCGCGAGTACAAAACAAATTTAGCGGCAAAACAGCTGATTCGTGGAACAAGAACAGTAAACTGTGTATTTTCTACCATCAACTTTGTCGCTTAATTGCAGTTTATCGTGAATTGTCTCGGAGAAAAATACGATAAACTTGATTAGAAATATCGCTTTCTTTTCGTATGAACTTTTTTAAAATGTTGTGGTTGTTTCATATGGGAGGGGTCATTGAAAAATTGGATGTTTATTGAAAACATTATATATTTTGCGGTAAATTTTGAATTGTTTTTTTCAAATTACTGATGAATTTTATATTAAAATAAATTAAGCGCAGCAAAATGATAATATTTTGAGCTTCGCCGCTTTTGTTTAGACGTCGCGACGCCCAATTTCATAACCTTTTTTCTTTTTTCTTTAGAATTGTTCATTTGAGCAATAATTTAGTTTTAATTCGATCGAGAATTCGATATTTAAACAACACAAAATTCAGCTAACTGCAAATTTTTATTGGTAAACAAATTTGTTTGTTTTGCGTTTCAGATGTGGAAAGTGCATTTTCGCATCGTTTGCTCTTAATGCATGTGCCTGACAAGAAAAAAAATCAAATTAATCTGATCTTTTTTATCTTTAAATTCAAAGTTTATGCAACTGGCTGCCGAAATTTTGACTGAGAAGAGATTTTTTTTTTTTGAGATGGATGAATTTGAATTAGCTTCAAAAAGTTTTGAACAATCATATGTTTGCACTGACAATGATTTCTGACTTAAAAACAGAATGGCAAACATTTCCATAATCTCGTAGACCTACCTACATCTTTTTTATTTTGAAAATCTTGCACCTCATCTATTGTTCAATGATTGGTTTTAAATCAAGAGAGATTTGGCTTTAGAAAAAATATATACTTACTTTTAAGTACATAGTCTCAAACGTTTCAAATATGTTTATCCAAAGAATCTAAATTAAAAGCTTAAGCCTCACAAACTCAACAGTTTCAATTCCAAACTCTCAAAAACGAGAGACAGAAAGATATATGGGAAAACTTCTTGGCAGGCGCATCTCCGGAGATTAACTCCTATTCTGCAAAATTAATGGGATGAACAACAAAAGCGAGCTTCAATACTACTACATGGTATAGAAGTAATGATTTAAAAAAAAGCTGAACAAGTAATCATCAGGTACAATACTAACAGAAATTAGGTATTATTATCATTATCTTTTAGTTTTCAGTTATCAGTACTTTTTAGTTTTTTGAAAATAATGAATTTAATTGGCAAAAAAAATTATACCTATTGCCTATATTTCAAAACTTACCACAAAATGCATAACCATTACTCATTTTATTTGCGAAACAATTATAGTGAAACACAACACTACCAGAAGAAATAAAACAAAAAGAACCAAGGACAACAACAATAATAAAATAAAATAATAACAATTATTGCGTAATTTGTGCCTACGAACACCCAGCGTGATGTTTTGGTCGGTGAACATTGTTATTATAAGTAATTTTACACTTTGTGTATGATTATGTTGACTGCAAATAGGATTTGGTGACACAGAAGAGGCATGGCGCTAAGTTTATCAATGTCCCCTCTAAGAAGACGCCACTGTTTACTGGTACTCGGTTTTGTGGTATTTGTGCCGTTTTGCTTCTTTGTACTATTTTCTGTACCAGGTAAGAATTTAGTTTTTATAATAGTCATAATAGTTAGTGCAAGAGTTTTATGAATCCATACCTCAGAAAAATCCTAACTAATAAGATTAATGATTATTGAATTTCCATAACCCTTCAGCGACTAAAAAACTTCCCAAAGATTCATGTTATATGTTATTGCTGTAATACAAATGCCTTATTTGTGATCACAAAATAAATTGAACCACTCAAAATTATACTTAAATACTTCTCTGAAGCTGAGTAACATAAGTAAGGGGATTGTAGTCTATAGGCCCATTTCCATATTTCCTACACTACACTTTTCAGAAGAACTTTATAAGCTAGCTAACACTAAGATAGTAGGTAACTATGAGAAAGTCGAATGTGCTATAAACCTATAAAACCTTTGACCCATACAAGTCAACAGGGACAGATGGGATCTATCCCATAATATTAAGGAACGGAACTGAACTAGCACACAGGATGCTCTGTAACATTCTGAAGTAGCCTGCCTTTGGCTATATACCATAAACACTTGGGAGACACATTAGGGTAACGTACGTTCATACCTATAAGCAAGGAAAAATAGGACAGGACACGGCAAAGTCCCTAACACCCATTAGTCTTAGGTCATTTAAGCTCAAATTGGAAAAAACTTGTGGATAGGCACATGAGGGACGGCGTGTTTGCAAGTCGACCACTACACCCGGGACCGCAGAACTGCTACAAATGAGTAGGATCCGACTAAGGACTATAACGGGCCTTATGACAGGCCACATACCGGTAAAGGTCCACCTGAACAGGATGAACCTGTATGACGGAGTACTTTAATTGCAGGCTCTGCAATAAGGACTTCACGAATTTAAACGCATAAGGGCCGAAATAAAAATTGAAATACATAACTCATGTAACACGTATCTTCGTAACACTGAAGAAAACATATCAAATGATAGCAATACATTCTGGTCTTATGTGAATACAATTAGGAACTCTTTCAGCATACCAGATAAAATGATCTATACCTAATGACTGTCAATTAAGTGATTCGACCGAAATTTTTGGTGGTTTCGCGAATTACTTCAAGAGTACATACTTGACTTCCAGTCAGTTTTTGTCGGGCAGCGAAGCTCTTCGGTCAGGGCCGTATCTAGGGGGGGGGGGGGGGGGGTTTGGGGGTTCAAACCCCCCCCAAAAAATAATAAAATTCAAAAAATTCAACTTGAAAAGAAACAACACTTATCAAATACTTATTTTTTTTTTTTATTTTTATTACTAGTGTAACAATTTTTTTTTGCCACTTTGTCTAACCCCCCCCCAAAATTTTGGTCTAGATACGGCCCTGTCTTCGGTTGCATTGTTTGAGCATAAATTTCTTCAACGAATTCGATATTCTCAAAACACTTAAATCAGTAAAACCTAAGTTTACCACTGATCCAGATGGCATCCCAGCATTCTTGTTGAAAAGTTGTGCCATTGTTTTTGCGTATCTTTTAACAATTATTGTTAACTTGTGGTTGAGGGCCGAAAAAATTCGATTAATTTCGAGGAAATCAAAAATTCGCCCGGTTTTTAAAAAAGGCGATAATAAAGATATAGACAACTATCGTCCTATTTCCATCATTTGTAACTTCGCTAAAGTCTTTGAAATACTTTTGGAACAAACTGTATATCAACATTTCAAGAATGGGATAACCATACATCAGCACGAATTTATGAAGGCGCGCTCTTGATGGCCATAACGCAACACATTGCTGAGGACATTGCCAACAGGCTCCAAATTGACGTCATTTATACCGATTTTTCAAAAGCATTCGACAGAATCGACCATGGCTTATTGCTTAATAAGCTCAGTGCCTTTGGTTTATCTAGAGGCCTTTTTAAGTCCTATTTGGAGGGGCTCAGTATGTTCAGGTCAACGGGTTCAAGTCTGCAGAGTTTGTTGTAACGTCTGGTGTCCCACAAGGCTCCAACTTGGGACCTTTGTTGTTCAATGTTTTAATGTTTTTATAAATGACATATCAAATGTTACCAATGTGATTTTTTTATTATATGCTGATGACCTCAAGCTTCAAAGAAGTGTGAAAGACATAAATTATTTCAAAGAATCTGCACAATGTTGAAGGATAATGGCGAAAAAATATGTTTAATTATTCTCTTGGTGGCACCACCGTAAGTCGAACAGAAACTTTTGCAGATTTCAGGGTGACATTTGGTAAAGGAACTGACGATTAACTTTTTTTTTTTTGAAAACAAAATATGGTTCAGCAATGTATATGGTTTACAAAGGTATTTATAACATAAACGTCTCTAAACAGTGCTTTAAGCACTGGTATGGAGGCTAGTTATTTTATAAATATATTTACACTACTCCAGATTCAAAAGTTGAGCTAGTTAGTATACACCACGATCCCCGTATAAGTATAGTGTGCGTACGAGCCAGTCAATATCGAGTAGATTTTTTAGTATTTTATTCTGTATTATTTGCATCCTTCTTAAGTTGACACTACCACAAACACCTCACACCGGGATAAGGTATTTCAACGCTTATTTTGCATCAATATGCGTTATATATTATTTATTGATATTGAGATCATGGGTTAAATAATGTCTGCACTTATAGAATGCACCAATCATCGAGGTTGTTTTTTGTGTTACTTGTTTTATGTGTTCAGACCAGCGCAAGTTATTATAACTAATCCCAGGTACTTAATACTTTGTGCTTGATCTATCTAACTGTATATTTTTTATTCCAATATTTGGTACAATAATGTTTTTGAAAGGAATGAAGTTTTGTCGGTTACAATAACCGAGAAGCGTGGAAATAGGGTAGTGGACAAGGTATCATTTCAATGAAATCGATGATCTATTCTTCATCTATGGGGTAAATAAAAAATATTCGTATCAAAAGAAATTTCAGATAAAATTACTAACCTTGTTTAAAACGGCGGTAAAAGTAGAGTTTTGGGACGCACTATTTGAACGGAAATATTTCGCGCCCTGATTCTACGTCATAGCTGTTGCATTTAAGTATGAATTAAATAAAACCTACGTCCGATATTCGACACAAACTTACTCTTTAGTGCAAAAAAGAGAGAAATATCAACGTCTCACGTCTCACTCACGTCAACGGGTATCATTACATTTAGGCGCACCCTCAACATAACCCCACTTTTTGAGAGAATTCTATTTGTCAATCAGTGCGCACTGAGTTTATCGGCATCTTTTTCTAAAAGCATGTAAAATATAAGGACGCGCTATTGGACATATATAACACCTATGACGTAATTTCCTGGCGGTAAATTATAGCGTTTAAAATAAGTACAAATTTGTTAATTTTTTTTTACGTATATTTTTGTTTTGTAAAATCAAAGAATCATCAACAATTGTTTATTTTGTGATGGAGATTAATAAAAAAAATATTTCAAAAAATTGTCCACTACCCTATTGAAAATGAAGAGGAAGTTAAAGAAAATTGGAGGATTAAAAATTTTGGTCTTGGGCGGAATTCGAACCCGCGTCCTCAGCATTATCTCAAACTCAAAATTCTTTATTTACATTATTGCATACATTGTACCGTAAAATGAGGTGACTTCGGACGATTTTTCATGTTTTTTCTGCATACCGAGCTTATTTGATTTTTCTGACTTTTGAAAAAAATACAGTAGATGCTCACACTATCCATATATATGTTCCCAATTTTTTTAAATTTTTACCCCCTCCCTGGATTTTTATTTTTTTGACTTTTTGCTGTCCGAACTCACCTCCATTTTTGAGGTGACTTCGGACACCCATTAAAATTGCTTGAAATCTATTTTTAGACGCGTTTTAAAGTGACTTCGGACATTAAAAAAAAAAAAAAATTGTTTCCAGCCTAAAAAAAAATTATTTTGGGTTATTTTGGGTTAGTTTGGGTTGTTATTTTTGTTTTTTTTTTTTTTTTTTTCATTTTTTGAAACGTTTATTTATAAATCAAAATCGTTATAAAAATAAAAAATACAAACAAACATAAAAGGAAATATAAATTCTAAATAAAAAAATAAAACATAACATTCTTAATGGAAAATTTCCAGATTTGAACAAAGAAAAATATGGTTAATGCAAAAATAAAATAGGTAGTCAACCTACTCTAAAGTTATTTCATCAGGTAAATTTGAAAATAAATATCGGTCTCTTCTTAAACGAACTGGATCTAAAATTTTTACGATATCTGAGACCAGAACAATACTCTCGTCATCTATTCTCGGAAAATAGAAAAATATTTGATCATCATTTCCTTTTTTTTTTCTCATATATCTTACTAGATATGGTGAAGTTGCATTGGGTTCTCTCAGATCTTCTACAATCAATCCAATATAATATTTATATCTAGAACAATAAGCTAAAGGCACTCTTATTAAAGCAAACTTGCCAACTTCAGGAACTGAGTTATCGCACGTGTCAGTATTTTGGTTTGTCTTCTTATTCTTGAGCAACAGCAAGGGAACCTCATCTTCTGAATCATAGGATAAGTTATCAGTCTTTCGTTTTGTTAAGTTACTCTCATCTTCTGAATCAGAGGATAAGTTATCAGTCTTTCGTTTTGTTAAGTTATCAGTCTTTCTTTTTGTTAAGTTACTATCAGTCTTCCGTTTTGTTATAGTTAGCTTCAACGGGCGCGTGGGAATAAAGTCCGAATCCGACGAGTTGTGGTCTTCATTGATGTCCTTCTTGCTTGTTTTTTTGAGACCTGGATCAGATTGTTTAGGATCGTCTTTCTGTGGAACATCTTCAGGTAGAATTGGTTGCCCGGGTTTAACGTTTATGCGCTTTCTTCTAGTCTTAGGACGAACATCTGGCGATCTTGTTTTTTGCAAAAAATCCAATAAGGTGTCAGAGACATGGCTCCCCATTGATGGCGAGGAGGATTGGGTCGGAGTATTTTCTACGGGTAAGTTAGTTCTACGAGGTAAACGTTTCAAGACAGCCTCTGGATTATATGGGAAAATTCCACATGCACGGAATCCGGACAAAATATTTTGACT